TGTGAAGGGGTGTAATCTTGGTTTGAATCTAATGAGAATTTGTTTGAATTGCTAAATGTGACTAGGGATAGTGTTAAGATCTCTATTGCTATCCAAGGTTTGAGGCATATAGCTAAGAATTGGGGTGTGCTATACTTGCGTAATCTAGATGGAAGTGAGCACACTTGGTATGATTTTAGAGAAGCAATATACAATAGGTTGTGGAGTAGTGAGTTTGCTTATGAAATCCAATCTGATTTGTATGAACTTGTTCAAGGTGACATGGATGTTGAGTCTTATATTGCTAAGTTTGAGGAGTTGTGCTTGAATGGTGGTAGTAATGACTTGCATGAAGTGTTAGTAGTGAGATTCTTGAATGGCTTGAATTCTTGTTATAAAGATGATGTATCTTTGATGAAAGAAAAAAATTTATATCGTGCTTTTCAAAGAGTTATGTTGTTGGAGTTGCGTAAGGATAGGGCTATCTAGAAGAAGTGTAATGAATCTTGGAAGGAACAAGGCGTTGCTCTGAAATACACTCAGCATAGTGTGGCGCCAAATGTAGATCATGTCTTTCGAACTATAGGTGCGATTGGATGGGTTGATAATTTGATTATAGCTATCGATGGGGGTAGTAGCATCAATTGCATAAGTGAGGAGTTTGTTAGAATTAATCACTTGGAGGTGAATGACTTAAGTGAACCTTTCAAATTACGTTGGTTGCATGGTGGAATGGAATTGATCATTACTCAAAGTGCTAAGGTGGATCTTCGCATTGGGGATCTTGTTTCGAGTGAGTTGCTTGATATAGTACTTATGACAACGTGTGACGTTGTCTTGGGTCTACCTTTCATTAAGAAGTTGGGAATGGTCTTTTCTTGGTTCATTGAATGTGTTCTCATATCGAGATCATGAGATTGGGTTGGTGGAGTTGAGATCATTATCACCCTGGGAGAGTGAGCATACATGTTTAAGAGACGTGCTAAAGCATTGTGCAAAGTGAATGATGTACAACAAAATAAAAAGAAAGATACATTCGAGGAGGGTGAATTGAGTGGTGGTATAGGAGGAACACTCAACGCTAACCATAATTTATCTTTGTTTCGTTTTGTAGGTAAAGATGTAAGTCTTGATTCCAGGACAAATCCTTTTCAAGAAAGGGAGCATGATGAGAATCAAATGGCCTCACATTGAAGTCAACATCAAATGGAGCAAAAGGTGTTCTTGTCAATTGGTGGTCCGAGATTGTTTCCATTTAAGAAAAGAAGAAAGTTTGCTGTGAGAACTTGGCCTTCTTTGGAGGAGTTATCACCAACACCTTTTAGTGAGAACATTGAGATTGAAGAAGAATCGCTTAGTGAAGATCAAGGGTTAGAAGAATCTAATGAAGACTTTGCTAATCATTGGAGTGATTCAAGTGATAAAGATTCAAGTGATGTCCAAGAGATTGATGCAAGTGAGTTTGTTCAAAAGAGCAAGCGTCTTGAAGAGAATGAAGATGTACATTTTAGCGTGTAGAATATATCAATTGAAGTTGAGGGTTTTGAATGGAGCCGCGCGTGCCAAAACCAAGGAGGGAAATGTGCGGGAAGGTTATTTAAATATTTACTATTTTATTGAGTCCGAAAATAGATAAAAATTCTATTTACTTAAGTTAAATAAATTAGGGTTTAAAGGTTAATGTATAGCCGGCCGTAGGGAGTATTTCATTAAGGGTAGATTAGTCTTTTACCATTGAAAGAAGTAAAGTTAATTACTTTTTTTGATGGTTAAGTTTTGTTAGAGTTTGAGTCAAAATTGACTACGTCTTTCCTTTTTGTGAATTGGATCGAGTAGTACAAGAAAAGTTGCTTCTCTTTGGCCTAAAGTAAGGCCTAAATAGTAGGGTTTGTGTCTTGGAGAGCAAGGGAAGCTTGCCTATTTAAGGAGGCTAAATTGTCTTCAAAAATATATTGAGTTGAATTATGAAATAAATTCAAAACTCATTTATTTCATAATTCAACTCAATATATTTTTGAAGACAATTCAGCCTGAGTTTTGAGCCCTTTGTGGTTTTTCTTAAACAATGAGCGTTTCTTATTGTTTTGAAGAAGAAGAATGTTTAGCCCTTTCTTTCTTTCTTAGAGCCTAATGTGTGACTTGGTTCTTTGAGTTAAACCGTTTTATCATGTTTGTGTGTTGCATGATTTAACTGTTTTAAAATTAATCTTCTTATCATCTTTAGATATGATGGCCGATTGGTTAAGCATGTTTGATTGCTTAGTTAGTTCGAGTTTATTGGGTCCTAGGGTTGTAAGATACCTTGTTGGTTTATCTATTTGATATAAATTAGTTTGCATGAAAATAGCATGATGAATAATGTGTTTTTGATTGCTTATTGCCTTACTTATGATAGTGTCCTTACCAATATAGCATATATATTTGTTTGGTTTGTTGTAGTTAAGTGAGTGATTTGCCCATTGCATGTATCATCAATTATATGGGTGATTGTTCGATTATATTGAAAGGTTTCATCTTTGATAAGATTAATTAATTCAATCCGGGTGATTATTTGAATTTTGTGTTTTAGTTTTGCTTGTGTTCATAAGATAGTGGATTTCTGTTCTTTCGGTCTAAGTTTATTTGTGAATTTCCGCACTCTTTTTGAGTTTCACTTTTAAACAACTTTTTCATACATTCTTGTTGAGGGTTCCATTAACGAAATTTGGTTCATTTACGAGTTTGCGATCATGGAGTTCAATAAACTAAAAGATCCTTTAGGTTCTTTAAGGCACAACATCAAGAATTCAAAAATATAGTGAAACAAGAATGGCAAAATGAAGTGGAAGGAAGTAAACAGTTCATATTGGTTGAGGGCAACTTTTGGGAATTCAACAGGAGGAATTTTGCAAACATTGAGGAAAGAGAACAGGGATGTAAATTGATCCTGATGGAAGTACAACAAGAGTTGCAGATCAACCAAATGAATGAAACCCTACAAAGGAATGAAAAAGAAGCTACACAGGAATATATAACAGCTAGCAAGACAATAATGAGTTATTGGTCACATAAGTTAAAGGAGAAATGGATAAGTGAAGGGGACATGAACACTAACTATTTCCATGGTGCCATTAAACAGAAGACCATCAGGAGCAGTATCAGAACTTATGTAGATCAAACAAGAGAGATAATTGAAGACAACAAGAGGGTTGAGGATCACTTCCTTAACTACTTTAAAGAGCTCCTTGGAAAGCAAGTAATTTGGATAGCTGCTAGAAGTGAAGTCTTAGAATAAGGGATCAAACTGTTTGTAGGCCAGCAGATTTTTCTGATTAAACACTTTACAAAAGCAGATGTCAAGGAAGCTTTGTTTAGTATTGATGAAAATCAAAGTCCAGGACCTGATGGCTATAACCGTGGATTCTATAGGAGAGCATGGAATGTAGTAGGGGATGATTTTAGTGAGGCAATGTTAGGATTCTTCAGGAGTGGGAAGTTATTAAAGTAGATCAACTCTACTTTAATGTCTCTTATTCCTAAGAATTATAGCGCAAAAAATGCTTCTGAGTATAGGTCTATCTCATGCTGTAATACTATTTACAAGTGCGTTTCCAAAATGCTGTGTAACGATTGAGCAGTGTATTGCCTAATCTGATTGATCTCAATCAAGGGGCTTCTGTTAAACAAAGGTTCATTTTGCAAAATATCCTGTTGGCTCAGGAATTGATCAGAATGTATAAAAGGAAGGCTCGAAAATCATTTTGTATGATGAAAGTGGACTAGAGGAAGGCATATGATTCTATCCAGTTGGAATTCATTGAGAAGATGTTGGAAGAATATAAATTTCTAGGAAAATTTGTGCAATGGGTTATGACTTCTGTATCCACTTGCACATACTAAGTATGAATGGCAGCAGTGTTGGGGTCTTGCAAGGGAAGAGGGGGATTAGACAAGGTGATCCAATATCACCCTTGTTATTTGTATTAATAATGAAATATTTTGCCAGATTGATGAAAGTGGAAGCATGTAAGGAGGGAATTATTAGACATCCATTATGCTTTATTTTTGCTGATGACCTATTGATTTTTTGTGGAGGTGATACAAAATTGTAAAGAAGATCAAGGAAACACTAGAACACTTTGCAAGTACAACTGGATTGAAGGTCAATGAGGCTAAGTGTAATATATACTCTGGAGGACCTATCGATCACGTGAAGGGATCAGTTACAAAGTATAATGGAATTAGGAATTGGAAAATTTTCAATGAAGTATTTGGGAATGTCAGTTTCTCCTACAACTTGGTCTAAAGCTGATTTGCAACGTGCAAAGTATATGACGACACTTATTTTGGTTTTATTAATTGCCTTTGTTTTTATTACAGTCCCAACATAAGATAAGGGAACAATATCCTTTTACCCTATTAAAGCAGAATACAAGATGTTGATGTGGCAACTTCTTATTAAAAATTTTTGGCTCCAAATGCACCATATTGCATTAACCATTCTGCCACGTGTCATCGCTTTTTAAAAGAAAAAAAAAATTTCTTATCTGGAGAAACAAAAGCTACTTTACAAAAATAGCTACACAATTTTAACTCCTAACATTTATCATTTATCAATCAAATTAAAATTACATTTAAATTTACCATAAACTTATCCTTTTTATTACTCTGCATTCTTTTGTATGATTTCTGTATCGTTGTACTTTTCAATATTTTTTCTCCTTTGACAAATGATTTTTTTATTTTTATTTTTATTTTTAGCTAAAAAAGAGAAAAAAAAAACCAAATGTGTAGCTATTTTATTTTTTCTAAATCAAGAATTTATTTATCTATTAGCATAAAATTACAGTAGAGGGGCGTCCGGGCAGCATCTAGTTATTAATTTATAGATGTTATTAATTTATCGATTATTAATTTATAGGGGTTAAAATAACGTCCTATCTTTCACTTTGCAAATTCTCTCTCTTCGCTCTCTCGGCGCACGTTACGTTTACTAACGTGCGCCTGCCGCCGGCGGGATGAAGAAAGAGAAGAGAACAAAAATGGAGGGACCAACAGATCTGCCATTGAAAGATGAAGCCAGTCAATTAAGAAAAATGCAAGAGGGTGAAAGCTCCAATGTCAAAGAATCAGTGAAGAAGGCGATTTTGCGACCAGATGGATCTGCAATTGAAGGTGGATCCGCTAACCAGATGATTTCACCATCGATTTCTGATGTAGTTTAGATGGGAGAGAAGTGGAGACTCAGTGATGGTTGTAAATCGGGAGTGGAGCAGGATCGATTGGAATCTAGGGTTCCTTCCAATAACCCTAGAAGACAGCTCTCATGGGGGGATAAGGTGGAACTGGAAAGCAAGCCGAACGCCTGGGCCCAATCGGATGGCAAAAGATTTCGTAAGACGCCAGGGAAACTGCAATTTGTTCAACCACGACAAGTGGATGGGCAGAAAGTCTACAAAATTCAAATGGAGGATGTATAGAAGGAAGCTGAATATTGGGAGTCTTTAGTTGTTTGCTTCGTGCTAGGGGCTAATCCACCAATTAGGGTTATGGAAGATTATCTGAGGAAAATTTTGGGACGACATTGTGTGGATAAGGTAATCATCTCCCTAGTGGTTTATTTGTTGTTAGATTCAGTACTTTGCATGCTAGAGAGGAAGTTCTAACTGTTAATCTGTATCAATTTGGTTTGAAGCCCCTCATTGTGAAACCTTCGAATGTTGAAAAAGGGTTAGCTTATCGTGATGTAGACAAGGTACCTGTTTGGGTTAGATTATATGGTCTGGAAATTAAATACTGGAATTTAGCAACACCTAGTGGATTGGTGAGTACTATTGGTCAACCTATAGAGGCTGATGAGCATGCTGTCAACAAAAGAAGAGTTCATTTTGCCCATATTTTAGTTGAAATGGAGATTAGTGAATCTGTACTAGAGAAAATAGTTTTTGAGGATGAATCTGGAAGGGTGCAGATACAGAAGCTGGATTATGAATGGATGCCTGTAAGGTGTACCTGCTGTAAGGTTTATGGTCACTTAACTCAAGTGTGTAGAAAGACGATTGAACTAAAGGAGATTAAACCAAAGCCACCCAAGTAGCATGGAAGAAACTAGCAAAGGAACCTCTAAATGTTAAAGGGAATGAGAAAGTAGAGGCTAACAGCATGGGAAATTCTAATGTTCTGCAGTCCCCTGGGGACCTTGGTTGTGATGGAAATTCCCAGAGAAGCTTAAATGCTAGTAAAGATGATAAAGAGAGGGAAGACTGATAAGGAGTAGAACTGGTACTAATCAGACTATCACTGTTACTCAGGAAACAGGTGCTGGTCAGTCTCAATCTGGGATTACCAACAAAGCTGGTAATGATACTGGTAATCTGAATAGTATGCAGGAGAAAAGTGGCCTTACAATGCATGATCCTGGACCTAGTCCACATGTGTAGCATCCTGACATGGAACATCAGGGGTCTGAACTCCCCCCTGAAGCAAAAGGAGTTGAATAAGCTGGTCACAGTGAATAAATATAATATGGTATGTGTAGTGGAGTCAAAACTGGTTAAGGATAGAGCAGAGATATCAACGAAAATATTGGAGTGGTTGGCAGAGGGAGACAAATTGTCAGGTTACCAGTCAGATCAATATCATGGAAGTGCATGGAAGTGCAATGATCGGGGTGGAATCCTGCTATTTTGGGATGATAGCATGGAAGTGCAAGCTAGTTACCAGTCAGATCAATATCTACATTGTCAGGTTAGACTGAAAGCAACGAATGTTTGTTTCTACTTTGCGGGAGTATATGCTTCGAATGATCAGGAAGAAAGGAAAATACTGTGGAATGACCTAATTGGGATTTCAAGAAATGGTAAATCCCCGTGGCTTATTATGGGTGATTTTAACAATGTTCTTAAGCCAGAAGAGAAGATGGGGGGTAAACCGGTGCTGTTACCTGAATATGAAGACTTTCAGTTGTGCTTGGAAGAATGTGGTTTGGTAGATCTCAACTATACGGGGAAGTTATTCACGTGGTGTAACCAACGACTGGGAGTTGAAAGAGTGTACTCCAAATCAGATTGAGCTCTGGTTAACGAAAGTTGGGTGGATGAATATTCTGAATCAAGGGCCTTGGTGAAGACGAAGGGGATTTCTGACCATGCCCCTATAGTGGTGGACATTTATACGCAGAGACAGCAGCAACACAAGCCTTTTCGTTGTTTTAATATGTGGAGCCTGTTTGCCCAGTTTCTCAGTATAGTCCAAAGAAGTTGGAACCAGTCAGTAGATGGGACCAAAATGTTTCAAGTGGCCACAAAACTGAAGAGATTGAAGCCTCACTTGAGATGGCTGACTTATGACCAGTTTGAAGATGTGGTAGAAATTGCAAACCGAGATCAGCGGTTGTTACAGACATTGCAGGAAGAATTAGCTAGGGATCCAGCTAATGTTGAGATACAGAAGGAGCGAGAGATGTATCAAAGCTATATTTACTCAAGAAGAGCATCACTAAGCTTCTTACAACAGAAAGCAAAAGCACTGTGGACTGCAGAAGGGGAGGAAAATACCAAATACTTTCACTCAATCCTGAAGGTGAAAAATATGCGTAATCGAATCTGGAGCGTGGTTGAGGAGAATGGAGAAGAGGTTAGTGATTTGAATGGCATACAGCAACATTTTTTTAGCTTCTACCAGCAACTGTTAGGGCAATCTGCTGTCAGAAAGGTGTCAGATGGGAAGTTTACAAAGCTGGACCGAAGCTGTCATTGGAACAGCAGCTTATTCTAATGAAGCGAGTCAGAGGAGAGGAAGTTAAAGCACCATTATGGGAAATGAACATCAACAAAAGCCCCGGCCCGGATGGCTTCGGAGCAGGATTTTTCAAATCAACCTGGAGCATCGTTGGAAAGTATGTCATGGAAGCAGTGCTGGAGTTCTTCAATTCTGGTCAGTTATTAAAACAGCTTAATTCTACTATATTGGCTCTTATTCCTGAAGTAGATGCACCTTTGAATGCTTGTCAGTATCGTCTAATAGCATGCTGTAATGTACTATGTAAATGCATCTCTAAGGTCCTTTGTAATAGATTAAAGCTGCTACTGCCTGCTATTATAGATGAAAGCCATAATGCTTTTGTTAAAAAATAGATACATTTTGAATAATGTATTGATTTCACAAGAGTTGATTAGACTGTATAGAAGGAAGGGTATAAGTGGATGATTGTTGATGAAAATAGATTTAAAAAAGGCGTATGATAGTTTAGAATGGGATTTTGTTGATGAAATGCTGGTAGGATTTGGATTTCCACAGCAGTTTAGAAAATAGATCATGACCTATGTTACCACACCTACTTTCTCCTTGCCGATTAATGGTAGCAATGTGGGTTTTTTTTTCCGGGGAGAAGAGGGTTACGGCAAGGGGACCCAATTTTTCCATCGATTTTTGTTTTAGTTACGGAATACCTAACAGGGAGTCCGAGGAAAGTTGCTGGTAATGGGAATCAGAGATGCTATGATATGGAACACAGCTATCATATTAAAGCATGTCTGGTGCTTTGCCACTCAGAAGGAAGCGTTGTGGGTTAAATATGGATTCACGGGATTTATATAAAGAAAAGTAGTGTCTGAGAGGTTCAGCCTGAATCTGATTCAAGCTGGCACTAGAAGTAGCTTTTGAAGATTCGAGATCAGGCACAGAATGGTTTTGATGGGATTAGATGGAAAGCAAGTAGTACAGGGAAATATACAGTAGCTTCTGGCTACAAATGGTTTTCTGGGGTTGGCAGTAAATTAAAGAAAGCTAACTGTATATGGTCTCAGCTGAATATCCCCAAGCATGCTTTCATAGCATGGCTTGTTTGGAAGAAAAGACTGCTAACCAAGAATAGGCTCAGTCAGATGAACATTCCAGTAAGTGATCCAACGTGTTTATTATGCCAATACGAAATTGAATCTGTTGAGCAGTTGTTCTGTCTGTTTGCACAGCAGTTGGTAGAGGATATAAGGAAATGGATTGGAGGTCAAAGAATAGACTATGATGAAAGAAGATGGTGGCCTCAGTTGCTTAACATATGGAAAGGATGCCAGCTGAAAAGGAAAATTCTCCTTGCTGCCATCACTGCTTGTATTTATCATATATGGGAGGAGAGAAACAGGCGGCATTCTGATGGAGTGGAAAGGAAACTGGAAGATTTAGTGAAAATGATCCACACTGAGTTAAAGAGTAGATGTTATCAGTGGAAACGCAGGAAAATAAAAGAAGTAGATGACAACATTTTGAAAATTCTGTTTTCTTAGGTCTTGTCTGAATTTTCTTTTTACCTGTATAGAGTTGTTAATGCCTGAGATTATGTTTTGGTATTATACGTTTGTGTATAGGGCAGGATACAATGTTGCTGTATAAAGGTGTGGCTGATGTAAAAGCTGAGTTTTTGATGTACTTGTTTGGTGATTTGATTATCAACATATATACTTTTTTCACCAAAAAAGAAAAAAATTTATAGATGTTCTACTGCATCAATTATATCTCCATCCGTTTGATGGTGAATATAAATTGAAGGCTTATCTCAACTATGACATGTATAACTCCAAGGTAAACGAATTATTTATTCTAGTTGTTGTCGACCCTTATTTTGTCATCAATTTTTCCGTAAAATTTAACGACAAGTATGGTACATAAGTCTACTTAGTGCAACAGTCGTGTAGAATAATTATACGCTGCAAGATGTTGTAATGGCAACATATATATTAAAGATATAATGGTCTAAATAGTTACGTTCATAAACACTAATGAGTTGATCTAAAGTAGAACTTTTATAAATTAATAGTGATGGGACCACCAAAATTTATTTAATTTTGTGAATTATTAAATAATCGATAAATTAATAAATTATTAATTTAAAGAATTTGTATGACACTAAATTACTTAATTTGCAATTGTTTTTGTATCTCAATCAATCAAGTATTAAAACTGTTCTGAACACTAAAATCTATATATAGTTTATATCATCTCTAGGGACCAAAAAATAAGTATTAACAGTTCATATTTTACTAAATACTTATAGTAATTATTATTATTTTTTTGGTGTTAGGGTATTTATTAATTTTTTGTATCATTGGGACCTATAGATATATAGTAGATTTTTCTAAAACATTATTGTCTTATCATTTTATCGATTTTTTCACTTTTTGTACTGGTACCAAATTGGGACCGAAAAAAATTATTAATTTTTATAAGT